TTAAAAGTCTAGTAAAATAAAATGACTTAAGTTTACTTTTAAAAGAGCTTATAGTGTCTGAATCCTTGATATTTTCAGGTAAACTGTTCCATATCAAAGCTATTCTGTTGAACTAAAAGTCTCGGAAGGACGACGTACGACAAGCGTTAGTCTTTAAATGCAGCCCCGATGAAGTACGGCGCGTGTTGCCCTTTAGAAAAGAAAAAAAATAACTAAATTCACGAGTGAAATCTATATGCCCATGAAGGGACTTAAAAAAGAAAACTAAGTCAAGATATTCTAACCAGTAATTAAGCGGTAATAACTTAAGCTTGATCTTTGCCTTGTGCAAACACACCAATAAATGTTACGGAATTCATCATGAAAACATCTTGAGAACAAGACCGGATACGTTACGTCGGTACGTAGAAGACTTTCTTAGGTCATTTTATAGTTGCAAGTAAGGCTGGAAGCCCAGGTGACCTTGCTTTGATACAGACCTCTCTGCTTTTCTCACGTAAATGCCAACTAGTTAGCATAAGAACAACTTGATTTACACAACAAGAAAAAAATTCTTTATCAAAACAAGGTCAACTGCAGCCTCGCTGCCATTCAAAGGAAAGATCACTGAACAGACAAGTGGAAAATGGTCGATTGGTTTTTCGTTGCGCTGGAAAAGGGTAACGCAGGCTCTGGGAACGAGATTCGTTGAAAGCCGGAAGCGAGCGACGTGCACGCACGATTCAGCAACCGGAAGTTCAGATCAGTGTTGTTGTTCATTTTGGTGTCTTTGTTATTCCCCAAAGACCATTGGGTCCTATTTATATGTTCTCATCACGGAGGTGAAGAATAAATGAAACTCAATACCTTGTGATCCTTAACACGACAGAAGATGGCGAAAACTGGCGCGTGGTCTGGACCTTTCCAGGCAAAGAGAGGAAGAACTGCCGGTTGCCGAGTTGGGCTTTTGTGTCATTCGCATGTCTTCAACGCTTCTTGTTTCTTTTCTTGTTGTTGTTGTTGTTGTTGTTGTGTTGTTTTTCGTGGAAGCAGATAACACGTATGATGATGCTTCTATATATTCTGTGTTCAGTTATCGGAGAAGAAAACGGGTACTTTGAAATGAATTGAGTATAAAAGAGCTAGGCCATGCTTCCATCCTCGTTTAGTCTTCGTTTTCTTATAAGCTGTTATAAGGGTCTTCGTTTTCTAAGGGTCTTCGTTATCTAGGGGGTCTTCGTTTTTGAGGGGTCTTCGGTCTTCGCTTTTTAGACACCCCAGCTCTGAGCTGTCAGCCGGGTTATCGGCCTCGGCCTTCGGCTTCAGCTACTTCGACCTTGATTATTCTGGATATCACAAAAAACTCATTCAATAATTATTTATAATTTGTAGTCTATGAAATGTACCACTACCCCTCATACCCCGAGTTTGTTTGGTTTGTACAATGGATTATTTGATTGGTGGTTATGAACTTGACTGAATTTTTAATGAAAAATGAACATCTGCTGTGTTTTGAAATTTCAGGATGATTGCAGAGATTTCATAAAGCAGTTAAAAGCAGTCGCCAAATCTGAACTTTCGAAGGTACATGTAGATTATATTCTGTACATTATTAGACTGTTCAAACAAAAAGATTTACGTGCACAAAATCTTATCATAATATATATTATTGTGATCAGCCTAATTTTATATAAAAACAATACAGTTTAATTGTTGGTATTCATTTTTGTAATTCTCTCACACTATACACATTATTACCCAATAGAAAATTATTGAAAATGAATTGTGGCACTGAAAATGTATTTCAATATACAGCTGTAGGTTGGATGCTTACACTAGATTTATTGGAAAGGAAATGTTAATGAACTCAAATGTACATGTTCATGTCGATGTCAGTTGAAGATGGAGGCAATTTATGTAATTATTAATTAATTTTGTTAGTCTAAGTGATTGTGAGGGATTGATAAGGGGGAGGGTGAAGGGGAAGGATTGATGTGGATGCGTCAGAAGCATTACTCTGTTGCTTTAACCAATGCTGAAAATTTATGCCCAAACTGTTTTTTTTTTTTTTTTTTTTCAGAGTGATGCACTAAATGTCAAGCTTCTTCAAAGGGAAATCGAAATGTATTTGGATGGCTCTAAGCATAAAAGGTGGGAAACATTATGTATACATGTGGCAGCGTGCTATGTAAAAATTATTCCACGTGCGTTCAATTCGCCCCTGAGGCGTGAAGCGCTGAGTTGGCTATAATAATCTCATATCCAGCAAGTGCAAGTGGAATAATTGTTTTATGCAAAAAGACCCCAAACAAAAATAGGAAACTAAACTAAAATAACAAAAAATGCCCCCAAAAATTACGATTATGCTTGCCATATTTGTAGGGGCATGGTATTCTTGCTCATATACACTGTGCCATGATGGCTAAGTCAATAACAACTCTGGAATTGCATTCCAATCGCAATGCAGCGCAACTAACCCAAAATGCGAATCAACGTAATGACCCCAAAACGCAACGAAACGAATCCAAAACCAAACCAATCCAAAACAAAGGAATCCAAAACGCGATGCAGCCAATCCAAAACGAAACGCAACGCAACGAATCCAAAACGCAGTGCATCGAACGAACGAACGCAACGAATCCAAACGAAACCAACCCGAAACAACGAAACGCAACGGAATGAATAAACAAGAAAACGAACGCAACGCTTTGAATCCAAAACGAAACGAATCGAATCGAAATAGAAATTTATGAAACGAATCAGAAACGAAACGCAAGAAATCTAAAACGAAAAGAACCCGAATTGAAACGAAAGGGAACCTGAAACGAAACGGAACGGGACGCAACGGAGGAAAGAACAAACGCAACGTAACGAGTGCAAAACGCAACACAACGCAACGAGAAACGACGGGACGGGAGGAATGCGAAACGCAACGAGACAGGACTGGACAAGAAGAATCCGAAACGCAACATGCCCCAAAACGAAACGAGACGCAACGCAACGCAACGGAAGGAATCCGGAACGAAACGAACCCTAAAAGGAATCGGAACGGAACAGAAAGAACGAAGGAACAAACGTAACGCAACGAATCAGAAACGAAACGGAACGAATCCAAAATGAATCAGATCGAAACCCAACGCAACACAACGAAGCGAATCCAAAAATAAAAGAATCCAAAGTGAGACGAATCAAATCCAATCGCAGCGCAACGCAACAACCCAAAATGCAACGTAGCGTAACGCAACGCAACGAAACGAACCCAAATCGAAACAAAGCGAATCCAGCACGATACTAAACGAGAGAAACGAAACGCAACGCAACGAAACGAAGATGTATGAAGGAGGATGCAGATCTATTTCCAATAATTTTATTTAATTTCATGTAATTTAACATTATACCTTTTATTTTCAAATAGCTACCTGTTTCCTCTAGTAAATTTGGAGGGACCTCAGTTAGAATTGTCAAGGGTGGTTTCAAAGATGAAGTTTGAGACCAGAGAAGACTATGAAAAGTATTTTTCAAGACTGGAAGCCTTTCCAACACAGGTACATGTACAGGATATCGATTGTGGTAATATCAGTACAAATTGTGTTTTGATTAAACGTGTGTTTTGATCTGATTTGTAAATTAAAGCCGGTGTTTAGCTTCATGATTGTACGAGGATAAAGTATATAATTTTTTAGGACACACTAATATGGTGCCTTTATTTTTAATTTTTTGCAGGCTTCCGAACTTATCGCTCTGCTTGAAGAAGGAGTAAAAACACACTATGTACCTCCCCATTTAACGGTGGTAAGCTCATTATAAGGACTTCTAATCTTATATTCGGTTATCAAATCGTTCCAAAACATGAACTCCAGACTCTGGTAATAATATTTATTTTTTACTACTTATATACATATTCAGGTAATTGCATTGTATAGTTCCAGAAGATTTCCATTCCTCCTCCACGGAAGGTTTTTTTTTTAAAGATCCCCCACCCATCTGGAAATTCCAATAAAGCTTCATANTGTTTATAGTTACATTTTTGTATTACATGTACATGTATTTTATTTCTTTCAGTCACATGTTCCAGAGCAAATCAAGAAAGTGTTGAATGCAGATATTACAGGTGACAACCATCTATTCACTCCACTAAAAAGGTTTCCAGAAACATTTTCAGAAGAGGAGAGGTACATTTATCTGTTTTGCTTACATGTCTTTTCCATTGTTATGTTCTTGTTCCAAATAATCACACTTTTGTTGTTCATTTAACACCCTGGGAGGTAGAGAATTCATAATTAAATTTAAATTTAAATTTTGCGGGAATAGGAGTGCAAATTACTGACTTGAGAGAATTTAACTTAAATAGGGCTGGGAGGGGGTGGGGTGGGGGGTGTTTATTGGGTTTATCAGATCATTATCAATAGGGTTGATTATTCAATTGGAAATTTTGTAAGGAGCTCCCAAAAGGTGTCAAAAGCCACCTCAATACACAGACGTGGCGTGAGGTCATTTCCACCGTAAGATGCACCAATTTCAAAAGACACTGCTTAATAATTCAAATGGATGGCTCCCACAAGTATTAGATTAGTTTTTGTCATAAATTTTTGTCCCTGGCTCGTGCATTACTCAAGAAAATCTTACTTAAAAAAAAGATGTCTTTATTCCTAGGGAATCATTTAAAGAACGTGGTATTAAGCTGATAGAAGAAAAAGTAAAACCAGCATTTAAAAAGATCCACGATTATTATCTTGACGTAAGTAAAGATAATCCGCACTAGTCTTCTCATGATACATGCACAATCAGTCCATCTTAGTTATTATCAAGTTTGACATAAATGTAAGCTTTGTATTTTCTACAAATAACATTTGCAATTCTGGCGAGTTATAGGATGCAATAAATTATGGCTTTTGTTCTGTCATGTTGTCTCTATAATCAGTGTTTTTATTTTTTTGTAGAAGTATCTTCCTCAGACAAGGGATTCCATTTCATGCACTAATTTTCCAAATGGAACTGAATTTTATAAACAGGTGAGAGGAACAAAAGGGTAAATTGAGTGATTAGGTTAGCTGAGGTGGGGGGAGTGGTGATCAAGGTAAAAATACGATTGGAAAAACAGATGCTTTTTTAACATTGCAAACTTCTTGAGGGAAAGCCATGCCTGAAGGTCATAAAACTTCTCAATCGAATTTTCCTTCAAATTAGGACATGCAAGATCTTTGCGAGAATAATGTATGCTTATTTGTTTTGTTTATTTACTCATGCTTTTTCTTACGCCGTGTCTCCTCCAGTAGCTTGCCCGGTCTTACTCCATGATATATTTTAAAAAAGTATGATATGTTCTTGTATATGTATATGCATACGTATGGCAAAGTCCCGACCAAGAAAGAGCCAATCAGAACGCTCGGATATACCTCGAGACTACCTTGCAACAATTGTAATGATTGTAATTATTTTCTGCTTTCTCACGCAGGCTCTAAAGTTTCACATTGCTTGTGACATGACACCGCAAGAAGTTCATGATCTGGGACAAAATGAAGTCAAGAGAATCAGGTCTAGAATGGATAAGGTAAGAAAGTAAACCCAGTAAAGCTGAACTTTTTGAACGGATCCCGTAGACGTTAATAACCGTAAAGAGAGTCCACAATAGGGTTCTCAGATCCCGCTTTCCCGCCCATTTTTTCCAGTTAATCCCACCATCTCGCCCCTTTTTGCCTGGAAATCCCGATCCCGCCTACTTTCCAAGGACGTTTCTGCGTTAATTATTAATTTTTTTAAAATTAATAATTAATTTAATTATTGACACAAACTTTTTAAAACAAGATATTGCATAAAAGATCACAAAAGAATTCAATGGGTAGCAGATAAGTAAGCACAAATGATCAAACGGCTTACTGTTTTGTTTCCTTTTGTCCACGTATCAGTGAAAGAAAAAGATTATTAATTCCCATATTCAAGAGATGGCCCGTAAACACACTTGACAGTTTCTTTCAAAGCTTTCAGCGTCTTCACTNGTTTTGTTTCCTTTTGTCCACGTATCAGTGAAAGAAAAAGATTATTAATTCCCATATTCAAGAGATGGCCCGTAAACACACTTGACAGTTTCTTTCAAAGCTTTCAGCGTCTTCACTTTATTTGAAATATGGCCTCAGAACTTTTCTTTCCGAGTGAAGGCATTCCTGCTCGCACATCCTTTTCGTAATATGGTCTAATATAGGGTGACGCAATTCGTAATGTCGCATACTTCGTTCAGTAAATCACTATCACCGCCATCCGGTGTGGCCATCCTGGCCAAAACAAGCCAAGCGCTTTGGAAAAGACTAGAAAAACTAGAAAGGATCGGGAGGTCAATGTTACAGATAGCCTGCGAACGCAGACGTATTTCCGGCTGTCGCTTAATTGTCTCCGCCGAAAATAACGTGTGCGAAGCCGAGCCAGTAAACCAGTTCTGTGACGTAGGAATTTTAAGCCAATCACAGTTTAGCTCAAGAAGCCCCAGAACTACTGCGCGAAGTATTCGCTGCGAGAAGCGCTCGAGTTTCGTTCTATCATGGGATCTGATTGGCCAAAGGGAAACAAAAGTCATTACGTCACAGAAATCGTCTCCTGGCTCGGGTTCGCAGATGTTATTTTCGACGGAGACAAGCGACAGTCGGAAACACGTCTGCGTTCGCAGGCTAGGTTACAGACGCAAGTATCGAAAATGTCGGAAATGGACGATACGTTTGACAGAACCTGACAGGGTACAGAGCGGTTGCTATTCATTACTTGAAGCCTGATACAGCTATACGGTTCGTTTCTGCCAGCTTGTGGTTTTTGTGCTGGTCAATAACAATTTCTGAAGTCACGTAAAAATTGAAATCACGTATCCCGCTCTGTTCCCCTTGCAAATCCCGCATCCCAACCCCATAGAAACACGAGATCCCGCTCCCGCTCGTAATTGTAATTCCCGCTTCCCGCTCCTGTTTTCAGCTCAAATCCCAAATATCACGGCGAAAAAAAGCCAAATACGGCATCCCGCCAAACCTATTGGGATCCCTCCGTAAACGGGCGCCTGAGTAACAAATCTTTGCTGACAATTTTTATGTTGCAAATAAAACAATTAGATGTCCCGAATATCGGCAAAACTTCACCCAATTTCGTCGAAAGTTTACGTGATTGTCGTCGAAATTTGTCGAAATGTCAGTTAAGAGTTCTCAGAAGTGTTTGTGCCGCGGCTGTTGTCATTGACTGAAAAAAATACCAAGTTACAAAAGTTCAGCAGTGCAGCGGCAATATCCAATCTCATTATTTGACTTTTATGTATTACATTTCGTGATATTTACACGCATATTTTATCTCTTTAAATAAAGAAAAAAAATATATAAAAATTTACAAATTTGGGGATACCCACAGTTAGCAAAGGCTAATCTATAGGCTTGCCATACCTTAAAAAATAATTATTAAATTATAGACCACGCGGCACATATACATTGAATAAATGAATAAATGAATTAATGAATTAATTACGTCTACGTGTGAGACATTTGGGAAACTTATATTCTAGCCTTTGTCAAATGGTAACTCATGATGTATTTGTTTTTTGTTACAGATTATCAAGGAGGTGGGTTTTGAAGGCAATTTGAAAGAATTCCTCGAGATGCTTAGAACTGAAAAGCGGTTTTATTATGACACAAAAGTAAGTTTTCTATCTTCATCTTAGATTGAACTGTTTCCTTGGTGTGCGGTGTGTGGGTGCTTTTATGCAGTAGTATGAATTTTTAAGCATTTCTCCACGCTTGCTAAATTTCATAGCCGCCGTAGCTTAGTCCTTGGCTGACTCTTGGATGAAAAATATAGCAGCTAGTAATTTCTTTGATAATTAACATGTGCGTTAGATAATATGTGGTTTATACCTAGAATGTGACTTAGAGACTTAGGATTGTGGTGGACAATGTACAGTGATTTTCATGATGGGTTTACTTACATCTGGCACATGCCAAAAAAAATAAAAAAAATAAAAAAACGAAAAAGAAACGCCAATTTGTTGACGAGTTTCGCTTGCTCTGGTTTAATTGACAGGAAGAGCTGCTTAATGGTTGTAAAGATTTGTGTCAGAAGATTATCAAGCCGAAGCTGAAGGATTATTTTAAGGAAATACCCAAGAGCCCGTTCGAGTAAGTCTCGTACCTTTTTGTTAAACAAGAGAGCGGGAGTACAGAAGCGAGTTTTCACCGCTATCTTGGAGCTAAAATGCACCTTATTGGCATTGCCAATATCCTTCTGCCAAAACCCTTGATGCAGTGTGTTTATGAAACCAAAAATTCCCGAAGTGGTAGTGAACGTTTGCTTCTTACCATAAGAGTTCGTGTTACTTTTGTAACGTTGTACAATTGAATTTCTCCTTACAGACGCTTTCTTTATACGCACACCTCTTACAGATCAACGACTGAAAGTTTACGCCCCACAAGATACCGATATTGCTGTCACGGACAACCGGCAAATTCTAATTACTTTGACAATCATTCTCTGAGGGACACTCAAATGTACTATTAACGGGAGAAACCAGAATTCATGCAATCTTTACCTTTATATTATGGACAGCTCTCTATATATCACGAACAGTTCACGTGGTAGGCTTAGACCAGCGATCCCAGAATTTATACGATCTTTCCCTGCATAATACCTTATTATACAAACAGTTCACTTAGCTTTAAAGAAACCAGAATTCACACGCAGCCTTAACCCCCATATGTGGACGCCTCTGTGTTAAGAACAGTTCACCCAGACTTAGTGAAACCAGAATTGTTACAATCTTTACCTCAGTCTATAATACGGACACTGCCTTCTATCCCTTTGGAGTCCGTGTTAAAGAGGTTCGACTGACCTTACTTTCTTGAGCATTTGAGGACCCGTAACGAGATCTGCATTGACTTTCGAGGGCTTAATGTTTGTACGGCCTCAATAAACTGGCACTTCTTAAAGGCTGGATTTCACTAGCGCCGGAGTTGGAGTCATCGCTCATCATCTATTGAAAGCAAGATAGTCGGAGTCGCAGGCAGAAGCCGAAGAATTTACCGATCACACTGCTCGATTCCAGGTATCTTGATTGGTTGGTTCTTCTGCTTCTGCTTTAGCGTGTGTCGACTCCGATTCCGTCGAGCTCATGGCTCCACTTACGACTCCGATTTTGCATTTTCACTAAGTTGTACGCCTTTTTAAAGCTCTTACTGCGATCCAACTCCGTCATTAGTGAAAACCGTGGCCAATAGAAAACATTTCATTATAATTCGCAGGATCATTGAGATACCAGCTGAAGCGGCCCTACTGAGTTCAGTAGCTTTCTATAATGGACCATCTAAAGACGGCACGAGACCTGGGCAGTTTCTAGTAAACACTTATAAACACAATACAAGGTACAAATTTAAGCCTTTTTTTCGCAACATCAGATCTATTATCGTTCCGTCCCTCGCTCTACTACACCCGTAAGTTCTTTCCTTCTTAGTATTTTAATTAATGTGGTTGTATTGCATACATGGTGTCAAAAATCTAGACAGTTTGCAACAGAGAACTGTCTGATCCCCTGAATGAATTGTGCAGTGACTTAAAAGGCACGATGGAAAGCGATAAGTGTAAGTCGCACATAAACAAGTGTATATTTAATTAATTGCAGGGTTGTGCTTTGTATTGGGGTTTGTGTTTCGATACCATGCATACAAAATATATCGATTCCGGTTAGATCTCTTTTACTATCCAAATTTAGTATTGGCTGAGTGGCCGTACACTTTCAGCAATTAGTGCGCAGTGGCTGGAGGTCGTCCACTAAATGGCGACGCTTTTTTCGTTTTTCCAAAGTGTTGAAGAACCTTTTGATGCAAATGGTAATTAATTTCCGAGAAGACTAAAAGAAGGACATTTACGGTTTCTTGACTTTAAAAAATGTGAAATTATAGAACACAACTGCAATTTCAATTGACAATTCAGTCCGAGCGCTCTTCCTAAGGCGCGAAGTTTAATCTGACTACGTCGGGAAATGGAAACCGTTATTTGAAGTAAATTTCAGTTAGAATTCTACTAAAACAATTAGATTATTCTCTCTCGAGTTCTATGAGGTGATAGTTGATTCGGCCTTCGGCCTCTTCAACTAACACCTCATAGAAAACTCGAGCTCGTGATCTAATTGTTAAATAATGTTCATAACAAGCGAAAACTATGATCTCACTTTGATATATAGACCGCAAATTTAGGAGCTACTTCTTTCCACGACTTTTATTTTTTCAGACCAAAGTACGAGATGGTTTCTCTTGCTCTTCATGAGGCTGAACCAGGTCATCACTTACAGGTAAATCGTAAAAATAAATGCGATAAAGATGACGACGAGGTTTGGTGTACGTAATTATCATAAATTGAAACACAAAACGAAACGAAACGCAACGATTCCAAACGAAGCAAAACGAAAGGAAAGTCAACTCAGGTTCATGCATGACTATCAGAGTAGCAACGTCCGATTGGTCACTAATTAAACAATAAAAACACGAAAAGAGAAAGCAAACAAGCAAGTACATACTTTATTTCAGGTTGCGTTTGCAATGGAGCAAGAGGGGCAGCCTTCTTTCAGGCGGCATGTGGAGGACAGGAGGTACTATGAAGTACCAGCTCGGTTTGCTTTCCACACTGCTTACATGGAGGTATTGTATGTTATACGGAAAAATCAAAGAGGATACATAAATTGGTTGTAACTGAGTTTCACGCCCTGAGGCGATCATCAGTCAAGCTTTATTGCGATGAAAAATATACCTTCCATTTATATATGTAAAACATGGTTATGGTAATTATTGTGGTGATGATGTGATCAATAATTTAGTGATCTATAGTCGTATTGGGCATTGTGTATATATAATTATGAATATAAAGTGGAACCTCGATTTGACGAGCCTCGATATAACAAAGTCCAGCTCGGTATGACAAACGATATTCTTCGCCCTTGCAATAGTAGAATGTATGACTGAACGCACCTCGATACAGCGAAACCTCGTTCATTGCGAACATATTTTACCCAGGTTTTGGCACTTCGATCGTTATATTGAGGTTCCAGTGTAGTCAGTGTAGAGGGAGCAAACAGCGAACTTCTTCACAGGTCACACACTTTATTAGAGGTTTCGCCCGTTCGGGCTTCTTCAGTAAAAGTGTCACGTAATGGATTAAAAATACTTGCAATAAAAATTATTGCTGTGAATAAGTCTTAGATAGGCTAAAGATTACAATGCATTCAAAATATAAATTACAAACAGTAAAATGCAAATTAGCGGAGTAGGAAAAAGTGCTATTTTATCAGTACAAATTAAATTCTTAATAATGCAGTGTATGCAAGTGATTAAGATGTTTATGGATCACTGTCATTTTAAAAGTCACTAATTAATTCAGTTTTTCAGGTAAAATTTAAAAGAAGGTGTCGACCTTAAAAGAGTATTGTCAAGATTGTTTCAGATGTTTACTATGCGATAAATTAGCACTGTGCACTTTTAATAGTACATTTGAGTGTCTAAAGAACATGATTGCCAATAGCGTAAACTTTCAGTCTTGCGTTGATCAGTAATCTTGCCCTCATTGTATCAATGGTAACATACTCAATCACTCGGTACCCAATAGACGGTCATAACGTTAGTTTCTCATTCAAGTGAAGTCGTGATTGTTGTGTTCTAGGGCTGGGCCCTGTACTGTGAGCACCTTGGCGAGGAGATGGGTTTGTATAAAGATCCCTATGATTTGTAAGTTCATTTTTTTAGTTGTAGAACTATCATATAGAGCTTTTAACGTGTTCCGTTTCCCGGTCTCATTACCACCTGTCTTCTTGTAAGCTATGTCAGGCCTACATTGTCAGGTATGTTCCGCCAATTGGGATCGGTGTGGTCCTCAGTCTTTCTCGAATGGAGCCTACTTTGAAGATGTGGGGCACATTTGTTCCCGAAGATTGAGGAGAGAATTGCGAGTACTTTGTGATAATTAATTTTACGTCTGAATATTTGCTTTGGCCAAATGGTTACTTTATATGGATTTGTGATTTTTGGTAAACAGTCTTGCATACCCTGCCCCATACTGACGGCTCTATTTCATGCGTGAAATAGAAGTGTTCTGGTTCACACTTCTTCGCACAATGCGGTACTTTTATTGTGTGCTTTCTTCCAGGTTTGGCCGATTGTCAGCTGAGATTCTGAGAGCGTGCAGATTGGTAGTCGATACAGGGATGCACGCGTTTGGGTAAGAAAAAGAGCTCCAAAAAAGCGAGCAAAGCGACAGAGGCAGGCAGGCAGACAGACAGACCGACCGACCGACCAACCGACAAACTGAAAGACAGGCAGGCAGGTAGACAGATAGAAAGACAGGCAGACAGACAGACAGACCAATCGACAGACAGACAGACAGGCAGGCAGGCAGGTAGACAGACAGACAGGCAGGCAGACAGAAAGGCAGACAGACCGACTGACCGACAGGCAGGCAGGCAGACAGACAGACATACAGACACGCAGGCAGGCAGGCAGGCAGGCAGGGCAGGCAAGAAGGCAGGAAGACAGTAGACGATTCTGAGTCAAATAAGGCATAACGTTTTTGCTCTTTTTCAAACTTTCGAGTTTTCTTACGTTTCAGATGGAGTCGGCAGCAGGCTGTAGACTTCATGGCAGAAAATACTGCAACTTCCCTTCACAGTGTGAACACAGAAATTGATCGTTACATTATCTGGCCTGGGCAGGTTGGTGCCTGTTTTTCTTTGGCTTACTTTTGTATACCAGATTTATGCTTCTAGCAGGGAATAGAAGACGTTGAAATACCCCATGTTACTTTGAATGTTGGGGTTGGCTGGTGAAGGAATGGGTGCAATTGATTAGATAATATCTCAATTATTCCACCTCCTTTTGTAGCTTAACGACGCACGTAATGATACGCACATGTACTCTCACTTTCGCTGTAATAAGGAAAGACTCCAATTAGGTTTAGGCTATAAAAAAGAAGTTCATAATGTAACAAGTCAGTCAGGGACTTGATTTTGTATCTCTCCGATAATGCTACATTTTGTGCTTACATACAGCTGTTTTGTTACAGGCTTGTGCTTACAAGGTGGGAGAAATCAAGATAAAGGAACTGAGAAGGAAAGCGGAACAGAAACTGGGTAAACTTGTTTTTGTCTAAGAACACTTAACCCATTTACACCTGGAGTTTTTTTTTTATTTTTTTTTTAGCAAAAACGCATTTTGGACATTTTGGACTTCTTCAGGCTGGATATATATGGGCCAAATTAGCTCCATTCTACTCAAAAAGGCATTTGCAACATGACAGCATGCCTTGCTTTCCTCTAGCATCGCGTTTTATGACATTTTTGCTCGGGCATGCGCAGAAATAAAAAAAAATGACCTACGTCTTTAGACTTTTCGTTTTTTTTTTCTTTTGCCTTTCCATCTTCTCTTTTTCGTTTCTTTTTGCTGTATCGGTTGACCTTCTCCTGAGCTTGCTTCCAGTTCCAGAATTTCCGAGAAAGTAGTTTTTCGCTCAAATTTCTGAGCATTTTCGTGCATAATTCAGGCTCAATTGACCCAGTCACTCTGATCTGGGTATTATTGGAAAGATCTTTTCCTCCTACAGGACTTGAGTAGGGGTGATGCCAATTTTTGGTCAAGGTGGTGACGTCAGAAGTGGGACAAAGGCACACGCGCGTTACGGCTGTGACGGTTGCGGCCGGCACAGGCGTCAATGGGTTAAGAAGTACAAAAAAGTCGAAATGACATTATTCATCGTGGTTTTTTGTTCTTTCAGGGGATAAATTTGATATCAAAGATTATCATCACGTTCTTCTCTCGGCTGGACCAATGGGCTTGGATACGCTAGAAGAAGCTGTGGACGAGTACATCGACAGCATACTCGCACAGTGAACACAGGGATTATTGACTGCAGCTGCATTGTCGGAGGACCATATCCCTAAATTCAACAACAACAACAACAAGAACAACAACAACATCTTTTATTTAAACACGGCTAATATAGCTTATGGAGCCGTGTAAAAAATGTTAATAAAATAATAAAATAAAATATAAAAAGTAAAATAATAAAATAAAAATACAAGGAATTTTATTTTTAAATCATCCCCCAGATTATCAAATATGTCCTTGATTATCAATTGATTCTTTTTTGTTTTACCCCAGAGGTTGTCAATTGATCCCTTTGATTATCAATTGATTCCATAACTTCGGTGCGTAAATTTCTCAATTAATTGAGCTAGCCTGGTGATGCCTCTTGTTATGGAGGGTAAATTTTACAATTGATGCCCTTGTTTATCAATTGATTCTCTTAACTTTGGCGCCCAAATTTTGATCCCCCGGTATTCTATCCTTTTCGTAATTCATGCCTCTTGATATCGAGCCTAAATTTACAATTGATGTCCTTGACTATCAATTTATTCCCCTGACTTTGGTGTCTAAATTTCTCAATTGATCTCCTGGTCATCCTTCTTACTATGGAGCATACGTTTTACAATTGATGCCCTTGATTATCAATTCATTCCTCTGACTTTGGCGCCTAATTTTCTCAATTGATCTCCTGGTCATTCTGCTTAATTGTTACGGAGCCTAAATTTAAATTCAGTTTACTCCCTTGATTATCCGTTGTCTCCCTGGTTATCAACTGATCTCCTTGAGTCATCCTATACCGGGTCCTAGTGGTTTTCAAGCCTAAACTCAGTACATCCCAGCAACGAACTCATTACTCTAGCTACCGAGCCTAAATTTAAACCTCCCGGGAGAAGGTCCTAGAATGATGCCTAGGATATTGAGCCCAAATACAAAGAATTCTTCCTCTCGATTGCAATTTTTTCCCTCCTGGAGGGGCCA